TCTACACTCGATTTTTGTTCTTTTTCGTATAGTTTTGAAAGAACTTTAATAAAAGAAGGATTTTTAAAAAATCGCCTCAAAATTAGGAAGAATGTGAACTTCCACATATGATTGAACTACCAAAATTGAAAGAAAAACTTTTTGAGACAAAAAAAAATGAAAATATTCTTTGAAAATGGCTTCTTATGAAATACTAGACTCTGAAAGCTTCAAATTTTATTCTTTTTTGGCTTTTAAAGATTCAAAGGTCCTTCCTGACCCAAAAAACACAAAGAAAACCCTATCGCTTCGAAAAACTTATGAAAAACTAATCCATGCTCCTTTAATAACGCTAAAAAAAATTCTGAACACACTACACATGGATAAAAATGTATAGTAAGAATTCCAAGGCGGCAATTTCAAATTTCAATTCAAAAAGGGGATGAATGAGATGAGATGGAATTTGAGCCGCGTCTTCGAAATGAGGAACGGCCCCTCGAATCGATATTTTGTTTTTGGAGCCGAGAAGAGGTGAATTATCTTGTCGCGCTCGTGATGATTTATTATAATGTGTCTTTTTTGGTGGGTTGCAGAGTTATGATTGTTGTTGGAAACAAGGTTTTCAGGCGTTTCTTTCTTTAGAAAACCCTTAAGAGGTCATTTTACATTATGGTCCTTAGGAAATGGCTATAGTGAGCCCTAGGGGCTCTTGAAAGTTTCCCTCTAGGAAAAACTTCCCTGAAATGGGTACTAAATAAACCATAGAGACCCCAAGCTCTCGAGGAACCAACTCGTCTCCCTTAAAGGGGCACTAAAGCTTGCAACCTCAGTCACTCTAGAGCTTCCAATTAGTAGCCACTCTAGGGGAGCATGCTAGTGGTTTTTATACGTTTTTCTTAACTTTAAAATCAGTATAGGAAATGAAGAACCACTATAAGGATCATTTTCTGATACAATAAATGTTCTGCCCGATTTTCAAGGAAACCGAAAAGTAAATTAAGCTTCCTCGATAGGAACTAGCCAGAGTAGACCCTAGAGTGGCAACCTTAGATGTTCTCGACGGCTCCCTTCAAGAAGCCATATCACCTTCCCTATAGGGGCACTAGAGCTTGAAAAGTGGCCACTATAGGGGAACATACTGAAGCTTCCTACTTTTTTTCCAGCTTTCATTCAGATAAAAAAAAAGTAAAAAGACCACTATACGGACCACTGAACTCTAGGGGTTTAGAGGCCACACCGCCCTAGAGTGACCCCACTGTCAACCCTATAGGGACCACTTATTTTTCTGTGCTCACAAAAATCCAGGTCTAGTACTAGTTGAAGCTCGAAAACTGTGCAAAATAATCTATTTTTCAAACTTTATTTTTTTTTTTCTTGAAGGAAGTTTTCTCTGGATCATTTATACTAGAAATTTTCACATAGGACAATGTTTTCCATTAAAATTGGTTGGACCGCTCAACTAGGGAGAAAGTTTGGTTCTTACGGTGTTTTTCTCTACAGTAAGCCTAAAAGTGGGCGGAGCCTAATAAAACCCTTTTTCATTTGGGATAGTGATAAGTGCTCACAGACGCAGAAAAAATCCTACAGTATTTTTTCTACAGTAAGCCTGAAAGTGTGCGGAGCCTAATAAAATATATTTCTTTATTTTCAGAATGTTATCTGGCATAGTAAGAAGAGCTCACGAGAGCAGACAAAAATGGAATTTCGTACAGAAATTTTCCCCATTTTTCGATTTTCTGAGAGCCTAAATGACGCTTGCAGCCTGCAAATTAACCATTCTTGCCCCATTTTGAGCCCTTTATTTTTTTTTTTTACAATATTCTGTACCCTAAAAGAAACTTCTCGACCAATCCCAAAAATCACATTTATTCCGTGAATCAAAGGCCCTCGAGGGTGTCCTCCTTGCCGTACTCCTCGGGGTCTTTCGACGATTCGTTCGTGTTGCGGTCCTCGGTCACCACCGACTCGTCCACCTCGTTCATCGTGCACTGGTCGGCGTCTTTCTGAACGAGGCTGGAGATGATCATTTCGAAAATCAAGCAGACTTCGGCCCTTTCGGCGTGATCTCGGTCCGATTTCTCGTTCTCCGCCTCGCCCAGCGCGTTGGCCTTGTTCCATTCAAATGGGTCTGTCCTGAAATTATCTCGATTTTGCGAAATAAATCAATAAAGCATCAAAAATAAGGGATTTTAATGGATGAACAAACTTTAAAAAAGCTCAAAACCGTAGTTGAAGGGTTAAATTTCAAGGCTGAAAATAATAATGATCCTGTAGCTTATGGAAATTCATTTCGCATTTTAAAAAACCTGAAAATCTAGCAGAAAAATTGATTTTTTTCTCCACAAAACAAGTGATTAACCTTGAAAAATTTTTACACAAAAAAACTAAAGTTTTTAAAATGAAAAGAAATCATGAAAAAAACAACAAAAAGTTAAAAAAATTTCCTTACTCTGGCAGGACTGATAAATAATTTCAAGGAATTTACCTTTAAAAAAATATTTTTTTCAGATACCTAAACAAGTCAAAATCAAAAAAAGAAAAAAAGCATCTTTAAAAAAATATTTTTCTCGCCTTTTTTTCGTTAAATTTTGAAATTTCCAGTTTCTAGGAACTATTTTTTTATAGTGGATTTCTTAAAATTAATGCCAAAACTTTTGAAAAAAATGGATTGAACATTTTTTTAAAAATTTTTTTCAAATTTCCTAAAACCCAACATTTTCAGCTTCGGAGGCATGTCGCCCTTCAATTTCTCCATAAAAGTCTTATACGGAGGCGTGTCCTGATACTTGAGTTTCCGCAAGGCCTGCGCAATCTCCAAGAAAGATTTGGGGCAACCCTGAAAAAAAATAACTTAACCATTGGTTTTTCTAACGGAAAACCTTGCACAAATCGACATCCGAAACTTTTTCCTTCTTTTTGCCGGCTTCTTTCCGGGGCATTCCCTTCCAGGGAAGACTCCCGGTGTGGCATTCGATCATGGAAAATAGGGCTCCATATCTTAACTTGAAAGTTAAAAAAAATTCTTCTTTTTTCGTCACGTTTTCACTCACAAATCGTCATGGCGACCTTGCTCTTTGTGCAGGTGAACATTGACGCTACAGTATCGTACAGTACCCCGGAATACTGTCTTAAATGATTAAAAATTAATCGATGGATAAGCGATTTTCATGAATTTAGAATCCCATAAACAGCACGTCACAGCGCGGAAAAGATTTTTACAAAAAAAAGGAAAAAGAGCGAAAAATCTTTGTCATTATGCATAATCGACAAAAAATTGCCTTGAAATACAGTTTTTAAAAAGCTGTATATGTTTTATAAATAGAAAAAGATCAGGAAAACATGATTCTACACGAAAAACAAACGAAAAGAAATAAAGAAGACAAAAATTAAGAATTTCCCTGAAGAGACTCGCCAAAAAGTACCGTGGAGCGAAAGTGTTCCAATTTTTCTCTGTCGGAATTTTTTTTTCATTTTTCACTTCTTATTTTGCAAATATATTTCTGCAGAACCCATAAAAATGACAAAACCTTGCTTCTGGGTTCGCGCAACTTCAATTTGCCGCCCTCGTTAATCATTATTTGGCGAGCCAAGCCGAAATCGAAAACGTAGACGACCTGTAGGGTTTTTTCCTCGTTCATATGAAACATTCGAGAGTAGAACTTGTTCATTTTTGAGTCCCATAGCCATGTTGCTCGGTTTAACATCGCGATGAACGAATCCGGCTTCGTGAATGTCTTGGAGGCCCTAAAATTGGAAGTTGAAGGCTTTTTCTTGGAATTTCGTCATGGAGGAGTTTCTTTTTCTTTATTTTTTTTTATATTTCTCAATTTTTATATTTACCTTTGTAATTTGAATAAAGATGCGAATTGTGGAAGGAGCCGACATTTTGCGGCCGGGAAGCCGTCGCCGTACGTCCGCAACCTCAAGTTCAATACAAATCATGAAGGAAATCATTATTCTACCTCCTTGCCAAGAAGGCTCATTACTAAAAATGTATACGTATCCGTTTTGCCTGAGCCGAGCAAACGGCAAACGTGACGCGAACTGAAAAAAGCTCTTTTTTCAATTTCAACGCGAAAATTCAGGTTCAAAATAAGGAAAAACGCTCACTTTTGCAGCTTCTTCAATACGAAAATTTCCATCTTGAGAATCTCGTCATCTTTGCACTTCATTAGAGGTTCGATCTTCATTGCCGCGCGACCTTTGTTCTATAAAATTTGGGAGATTGTTATCCCAAAAAAAAATAAATTTTCTCACCCCACCAGCATCGACAAGAAAAACCTGACCGCAAGCCCCTTCGCCAATCTTGAAAAAAAATTATTAAATATTCATTTCTGACTGTCTGTACTCTCTTTCTCTTTCTTCACTCAGAGAAAAGGACTTGGAAAATTTTGAGTGGCCACTGTAGGGTTTTGACGTTTTAGTAGCCACTACAGTATTCAAATTAGTGCCCACTTAAAGGGTTAAAAATTAGTGGCCACTATAGAGGTCTAAGTGCTACTTCTAGACCACTAAAGTTTTTTAGTGGCCACTTTAGGGGTCAATGGATCAACAAAACTGGTTCAATCTGTTTGTTTTGAAATTATCAGAGCTACTGGAAGGAATCCTGGATGAAAAACTACTGAAGTGGCCACTAAAACGGAAAATAGTGGCCACTATAGGGTCCTCTCCAAGTAGTCCATGAACACTAAAAATTTTCCAAGGATAGTTTTACCTTTTTCTTGACGATAAACTGATCGCGGATCTTGTCACCAACGTTGATTTTGACTGGTTGCAAAGGTTGCGCCATCGCTAATTTTTTCAAGGTTACTGTAGAATTCGTTGCGTGAGCACCTGGTAGCAGAAGACGTTTCGCTAGGCTCCAACGGAAAAGAAATAAGTTAACTTCACGTTGATATGATATTTCTGCTTTCATTTACAGTATTTTACGTTTTTCTTTAGCTCCCAGAAGAAGGTGAGACCTGGAAAAAATAATAAATCTGGTAGAAATTTGGAAAAACCATGGCTACCTTGGGAAGTTACCAAGGTGTCTTGGGAACCTCATATTCACACTTTTTCGCCCTTTTCTTCCTCTAATGCTAATTTCGAAGCTTTTCCTGATTTTTTTGGTCTTTGAGGTGAATAGAATCTACCTGAAGAAGGAAAAAGTGATTCGGATTTCAGAAGGCCTCTCCAGAATCCTACATCATTTTCACGGCGGCGCCATCTTTGGAATTTGCCAAGATTATTCCGGCTGACGATTGCCTTTCAGCTTGCTCTGTAGATCCGGAGTGTTGGGTTATTTTTTTCATTTCGTAAAAGGAAGTGGTCCCTGTAGGGGTTTAGGGTCTGAGACCTTAGCCCCTGCAGCTCAAGTGGTCCCTATAGGGTTCTTTCAACTTCATTCAGAAAAGGTTCTTTGCTTGCTCTGTAGATCCGGAGTGTTGGCTTCTTCGCATAGTAGCATGCCATCCATAGGGACCACTTTTGAAAGCTTTAGGGGTCCCTATAGGGTTTGGTAGAGCGGACCTTCCCAGGGCCCCTATAGGGACCACTCTAGTGTTACCAAGAAGCTGCTGGTGTAAGTCACCTCCAGTCGATTTTTCACAGTTTTAAGGCGAGAATGGCCTTACTTAGCGAAAAATGGTCCCGACACGAAAAAAAAAAGAGAGAGTACCTGGTTGATGGAGAGTGCAGACAGTCCCCATGAATCGACTAAAATTGACGAAATTTTCAGGCGTTTTTCGGAAATGACAATGGTTGCAACGTGTTCTTGGATTCCGGCCCGAGGCTGGACGGAACTCCTTCCGTCGCCTTGGATCCGCAAACGACGGAAGTCTGGGTCAAAGTGGCCTTCGATAGTAGTCCGAGCTGTTCAGCTTCGGTCACTGACGCGATTAAAACGACCGTTTGTCGAATTTTCTTCAAAGATTATTGAGAACAACCTTGTCAAGAGTATGTAGTCTGTTCAGATTTCAGAAATGTCAAGTCGCTTTTAAAGCTCCGCCCCTATTGGGCCGATAAGCCAATCAGAGAGCGAGCCACCCACAGAGCGTTTTCGAATGACGTCATTGTATTTGACATTCAAAATATGTACAAACTATAGTCAATTTTTGCCATTTTGAAAGGCGAGGACGCGTTGCGTGTGCGTACGCGGTTCTTGGCACGAGTCCAACTCAACCATCATCGCTATTTTCTGTATTGATTTTTTGTTTCATTTTTGCATTGAAAAATAGTAGAAAAACTACAAAAAGAGCGGTGACCGAGCTTTCCAAATAGCCCACTTTTCTGCCTCCCTCGCCTAGGAACTTCAACGGCTTTTGTGATTTTGACGTATGAATGAATTTTTGAGTCAATCAATAGTTGAATTTTTTCAATTTAAATGCATTTTTTCAGGTCTGGGGAGAATGGTTCACACCTCCAAGTTGCGCTTCCGGAAATTACGTTCTTAAAAAACGGTGGTTCATTACGGCAATCGACGGCATTGTGGAGTTGGTTTTTTTTTTCAAAAATCCGTTCCGTGTGAAGTTTTCGTGTCAAAGAAACGCGAAAATAGCACGTTAAAATGAGAGAGTCGCAGAGAGACGAGGAGGGCGCAGAGAAACTTCAACTTTGAAATAAATTTGCAGCTCCCAAGTTATTTCTCACTCTTCAAAACTTGATCTTTGAAGATTAAGCAGACCAACTTGCAGCTCCCAATTTTTTTTTCTTAATTTTTGACCTTTCCCACGGCATTTTTGTTAGTGGAAGAAAATGCAGAACCAAAATAAGGGGGCGTGGTCAAAATCTTCGCCGTTCCCATGTGACGTCATCGGAAAAACGCGTAAATAACAGGAAATATTAAAGGCGCATAACTGGGTCTTGAAACAAATCTATTTCTTCTTTTGAAAAAACGCGATTTTTCTTTTTTAAAACACATGCCGTGTTGAAAGTAATTCCGCGGAATTCAAAATAGCCACCAGATAGTAAAAATATAAGTGAATTTCAGTTCGCAAAAATTACGTTGAACGCGGCGTGTACCAGAGCGCCGCAGTGTATGCACACGACACACTAAACTTTACGTAAAAAAATATGGCGGGGCGTCGCCAAAAAAACGCCGTGTTCCTTTTCGACAATTTGCTTTTTCTGAAAACGATAAGATATTAAAAAAAATTTTTTTTAGGAAGATAAAATTTTTCATTTCAGCACGAAAAACCCAGCTGTTCTACGAAGCAGTTTGACTACACACCTCAATAATCTTCAAATATTTATTGATTAAATAAAAATTCAGTTATCATTGTTCATCCCAAGGAATCGATTGTTCGAGTTGTTGTCGGACATTGTTGCGAATTTCTTCGGAAATCTTGAAAAAAATGGATTTTTTGCGACTTGGCGGGACTTCTCTGCGCTCTCTGTATCTCTCGACGTCTCTCTTATGTTTACGTGCTATTTCTATGTTTCTCTGACCTAGTCGGGGAGGGAACAGAGAGACGCAGACACGCGAAAACTTTCGAGGGGCGGTGGACGGGCTATAGATATATTCATACATCAATATAGTCCATCCGCAGCGACTTGACAGTTTTTGCGTGTCTGCGTCTCTCTGTTCTCTCCCCTCACCGGTGAGGTCAGAGAAACGCGAAAATAGCGCGTCAACAAGAGAGGGTCGTCGAGAGACGAGGAGGGCGCAGAGATGTATTGTTCCATGGCCGCACGGGGAATGGTTCAGCGAAAGTCGTTTCAGGTCGGGCGCATTCCACAGAAGCTTCCAATAAATAAATATACTTTTCTATTGGATCCAGGACGAAGTTTAACGTTCCAAAATGAATTTTCCTCCCTTGGGGGCGTTGCAAAACTGAGTTTACTCGATTTTTTTTTCATTAAATCCATCTTTTTTAGAACCTTTTCTCGCATAAATCGATAGTCCTGTGCTTTCTGCCGCCTTGATTGTACCTGAATCAATACCTTTCTTTCTATATACGATTAAAAAAAAACTCACACTCCAACAAAAATGACACTTTCATCCTTCAACTTCCTCTCCTCATTTTCTTTTTCAATTTTCTCCGATTCATCAACTGCTTCTCGAGGTTTAAAGCTAGTTTCGATCAAATTTTCGTCTTCAGCTGTCATGTCCTACAAAATGATGATTTTTGAAGCATTTTTTGTCGAAACCATTGAAAGAGCGTGGAGTCAATTTATTTGAGTTTCAAAAAACTAGTTTACTACAGTAATCTAAGTTCCCGTAATACTACAGCACTCCAAGCCACCGTAATACTACAGTACTCCAAGCCACCGTAATACTACGGTACTCCAAGCCACCGTAATTCTACAAAACTCCAAGCTACCGTAATACTGCAGTACTCCAAGCCACCGTAATACTACAGGACTCCAAGCCGCCCTAATACTACAGTACTCCAAGCCACCGTAATACTACAGTACCCCAAGCTACCGTAATCCTACAGTACAGTACTCCAAGCCGGGGAGAGGGAAGCGGAGAGAGGGACACACTACTCATTTTCAAGACCTTTCAGAGATTTTCGTAAAAATATTTGAAAAAAATGAAAATACCATAAAACTGGATCCAAAAGTGTCATCGGTGGCTTGATTCTCGTCCTGTTTTGTTTGAGAATACGATTGGCGGCTTGAATTCTGAAGTTTCAAGGGATCACTTAAAGGAATTTTATCATGTTATTCGGAAAAAAGCCACCAAAACTCTATAGTGACCACTTATTCTTCAGCTTTTTGTACCTCTGGGGAGGAAACTTCACTGAAAACATTTTGAGTGACCTCTTCAGGGTTCTGACCTTTTATGGACCGCTATAGTAGTCGAATTAGTGGCCACTTAAGGGGCTAGAGTTAAGTCCTCTCTTCAGAAGTCTAAACGGTACTACTAGACATCTAATAATTACTGTAGTGGCCACTTAGGGGACCAAATTTTAGTGGTCCCTTTAGGAGTCTAATTGGTACTACTAGACCACTGAACACTGGCCGCTAGGACGCAAGTTATTGGCTTCTGAAGAGATGGATTTAGTGGCCACTTTAGTGTCCTCTCAAAGTAGTCCTTGAGGAACCCCTTAAGTGGCCACTAGAGTTTTTCACGACATTTATTTTTTTTCATCTTTTTCTTTGCTCATTCTATGAACAGGATTAGTGATTATGAGCCTTAGAAAAGCTCTATAGTGACCACTTGTCCCTATATCCGATTCACGGCCAACTTGAGACGCTGAGGGGGCGTGGCCTGTCTGCACTCTCCAGCAACCAGACACTATCTCTTCTATTATCGTGTCGGGACCCTTTTTTAATGGCTCAAGCCAGCCTTCAGAATGGAAGTCTCATTTTTTGAGTAGTTTCTTCAGCTTCCTCTCATTGAAAAGGGTGTCCCACCAAAATATGTCTAGCCAAATCGTGAGAACTGCGGCAAGCCGACGAAATCGACGCCGCCGACGAAGACATCGACGCCGAGGTCGGCGGCTGGAGATTGAACGAGGAAACGCTGCTGAACACGTTCTGCACCTTCTTCCATTTGTTTCGTAGGGTGCTGAAAAGACGAAACTTCCTCGAAAATGGTCTATGCTCGCATTCGGAATGGCTCAACGGGTTACGGTGGCAACCAGTAGCAAGCTCTTTTTTGAGACGCAACGCGACCGCGACGCCTTGAGCCATTCCCGGTGCGACCACGACTTTTTTAGGCTTCTCTGGGTTATCTCATAGAGATATTCAGAGTATTCTAGTGAGAAAAAAAGAAACCAAGAAAAAGCTAAAAAATCGGAATCTTTTAAAGCGGCTAGAAAGTTATGTGTAGAGAGGAGAAATGCTCTAGTCTGTCTGCACTCTCTTATCTCTGACCAGAAGGATCAGAAAAGGGGAAATAGCAGGGAACTATGAGAGGATCTGACTATCTGACTGAACAAAATGTGACTTTTAACAACCGAGTTATTTTAGACCATCTGAGGAACTTCAGAGTGGTCCCTAAAGGGCCTTTTGAGGGTCTCCTTTTTTTTACCAACCCATGTAGGGGCCATTAAAGCTTGCAAAAGTGGCCCCTATAGGGGACATGCTAGTCCATAATTTTAATGGAAGCCGTTTCATTGAAATTCTGAACAAATAGCCTTTTTTGAATGAAATTGAAAGACCCCTATAGGGACCACTTAAGCCTTGGGGGCTCAGGAGTCAGACCCTGAACCCCTATAGAGACCACTTAAGCTTTGGGGGCTCAGGGGTCAGACTTTAAGCTTCTATAGGGACCACTCAAGATTTGGGGGCTGCGGGGTCGGATCCTAAACCCCAATAGGGACCAATTTTTCGCCCCTAAAAGTGGCTTTTTTCTCCTAACCCCTATAGGGATCACTCAAAATTTTTTAAGTAACGGTTTTTTTAAAAATTCTGTGCTCATCTAGAATACATCCAGAAAATCATTTTTTCAAAATTCCATCAAAAAAGAACACAAACTGCGATCCGTTTCGGAGGCCGCTCTGAGCGTCCATCGCGTCACTGGGAAAAATGCCAGTTTTTGAAGAACCTTTTGAAATTTCACCTAAAACGTCGAGACGAACTGTTGGCTTCATTGCAAGCCATTGAAGGCCGGAAAACGCTGTCGAACGATTCGGAAAAGTGGCGAGTTCCTCGGTTCGCCGTTGGTCCCATGCTAAAGAACTATTTGAGAGGAAAAGATAAATGGAAAGTTTAAATTTTTTCTCTATGACTGACTATAATCTTCTTAGGGGTCCCTGGAGGAGCCTGGGAAGGTTCCCTCTAGGGGCCACTATAGCTTGAAAATTTGGTCACTCTAGGGTTTTTAGCTAGTGGCGACTCTAGGGAAGCAAGCTCTTTTAAACTTCAAAATTGATCAAAAATCTGATGAAGCCCCTTGGGGACCACATTACCTCCCCTATAGGGACCGCTACAGCTTGCAAATTTGGTCACTCTAGGGTTATTAGCTAGTGACCACTCTAGGGAAGCAAGCGAGCGCTCCTTCTACGTCTTCTTAACTTCAAAAGCAGAAAAAAAAGTTCTAGACCTCTTTAGGGATTTCTTAAGCTTTGGGAGCTAATGCCTCAGTCCCTGAACCCCTAAAGGGAGCTCTATTTCGTCCCCCTAACCTCTTTAGGGGCCCCTCTAGCGTCTCTAGGATCTCATCGCTAGCTTCATTTCTACGAAATTAGCAGTAGAGCGCACTTGGCTATTTAGACCTTTAGAGGGACCACTCAAGCTTCAGAGCCTCACAAGTCAACCCTTAATCCCTCTAGGGAGCACTTATTGACCCCTACCGGGATTTTTTCTCTGTAAAAACAACCCTGGCGTTTTTAAGTTCTCATCGCAAAAACCATTTTTCCGAAATTCTCAATGGAGCGCACTTGACGCGGCTATTTTTTCCAAGCTTACTGATCCTTTTTTTTTTGAATTTTCTACCTGCTCCGAACGCTGTTGAATTTGTTGTCTTTTTGGGTGATTCGCAGGCTTTCCATGGCCATTCCAAGCATTTGTTCCAGGGTTTCGTGAGATGTTGGGAGATCTCTTAAATTGAGATTTTCGTGAACCTAGAGGCTTTGAAAAGCTTGTAAAGTACTGATTAGGACAGAAAAAACTGGATAATGGTACTTTTCAAGTTTTAATAGGACAATTGGAACAGTAAAACTTGAAATTTCGAAAATAACCCATTAATTTGGTCGGCGTGGAGCAGAAGGCTTTCCAATTGTCTTTGAGCCACGTTGATAAAGAACTGAAAATATTTTTTTCGATTTTTTTATTAAATTATTTGCTCAAATCAGAAGCTTTTTGTATTGATTATGTAGAATTTTCGAACAAAAAAAACGAGCCGAAAATTTTCAAAGAATTCCGAAAATTAGCATCATTCAACTCAAAAATCCACCGTTTTCTTGAAATTTAGATATTTTTCCTGTGCTCTTTTGAAATAATTGAGATCTTAAAGGCTCTAATAATTGGAAAATTTCATTCAAATTCGAATTTTTTTTGCTTATATGGAATTATGAACACAAGAAGTGCAGGAAAAAATTTGAAATCCGAATTTGTTTGAATTAAAATCCCCGATGAAGAACTAATAAGAAATAAGAAACATTTTTTTTAAACAAAAGTCTTGAAACGTATAGAGAACCTTTTCCAAATCGCCCATTTTTTTGTGTCACCTCCAAGTACGAATAAATCCGAATGAAATGACTTTTTTTCACGTTTTTTTCAACACATTTTTTTCAATTTCAAATTTATTTACAAGTGCAAATACAATAAGAAAAAAACAATAAAAGTGCAAAAAAAAGGGATTTTCCGAGAGTACTCGTAATCAAGTACCTGTGGGAGGGCAATAATACAATTTAAATTGGTCAAGTGTTCCCTTAAGGGTTTTTCATCTGTTCTTGCAACTTCTGCAGGCGCATCGACAAGCAGTCCTCGTAACGACGGGCGAAAGTCTCCGCGAATCCGAACGCCTAAAAAAGAAGCCGCATTTTAAAGGTTTTCTCAAGAAAAATAACCTTCTCTAGCTCCTGAAGTTGATGAAAAAGAAGCTGGATCGACTTGAGCATGTAGTCGTCAACTTCCTTGTTCGGAATGTAAGGATTGTCGTTTGGATTTCCTTGTAACTTAATAACAACGATTAGAAAAAAAGGCAAAAAAGAATTGCATCGGCCGGGAATCGAACCCGGGCCGCCCGCGTGGCAGGCGAGCATTCTACCACTGAACCACCGATGCTACGAGGATGCCAGAGGCATTCGGCGTACGCAACCCCTTCCAGGGGCTGGTACACGCATTGGAAAGTTGAGAAAAGCCTACGTATGCTACAAAATGAGCCAAGTCGTTCTGAAACGGTTGCTGAGGCCGGTTGGTCGCCATGGCATACTGGCATTTTTCCATCAGGATTCCCAAAAGCGGAAAAAGCGGATGCCTGAAAATATTTTTTTACTGTAAATTACGTACAAATTGAAGAAAACTCACGAATAAATTGTCGACTTGTCCATGTCCAACTGCGATGGGAACATTTCGACGAACATTTGTTGGTGGTAGGTCGTGAATGGGCTTTCCTGGAAAATTAATGATTTTTTTTCGAGTTTTGATTTGAAAAACTCACTTCAGGAGCTTCCAAAGAGCTTCCGGAACCATCGAAGGACGACTCAGACATTTTCGATCTGAAAAAAAAATATTTAGAAAGGTTATTGAGAAAAATATCAGAGATAAAGTCGATTTTCACGTTTAGAATTAGTTTCGTAGTGAAAAAAAGTCCCAAGCATCGAAAATCGGGAGCAACAGAGCTCAAAATAAACTTGTGAGAACTGAAAGAACGAAAATTCACTGAAAACGGAGAACAAAAACAAAAAAAGCTTCGAAACTCGATAAACTGATCGTCTTAGCTCCCAAGCGCTGGCCCAAGCTCCACCTCTTTTTTTTATTTGCTCCGCCCACTTCCGTTCCCAGTCTCATTTTCACAGCCACTGGCACTATGAGGTGTCACCTTGTGCTTGGGACCTATCCGGTGGTTCCCAAGCTCTTGTATTTTCACACTATTCAAAGAAGCATGCTCAAAAAGTTGAAATTGTATTGAGAGGCATCAAAAGTCCCAAGCAGTCGGAAAAAGCTGTGTAAAGCTTAGGAGACGTTTCTGAGAATTTCTAAAGTCCCACGCGGACCAAGCATTAATACGTAAACGAGAAAAAAAAGGGAAAATTTTGGGAAAAACGAGCTCCCATGTTTTACAGATCCCAAGCTCCCGAGCGCTGGTTTAGAAAACAGAAGAAGGTTGGGAAAGCTTCTAACGAGGAACATTTTCTAACATACAAATAATCGAGCTATAAAAGTTTATAAATCAAAAAATTGAAGTCCCAAGCGCCGGCTTCAGCTAAAAACTACTCATTAAAACTTGAATAGGAAAGAAGCAACTTACAAGAAAGAACATGCTTGAAAAATAAAAAAACGGACACCCAAGCTCCCAAGCTATGGACCAAACTTTTAAAGAGGCTAGAATCTAAAAATCTGAAGTAGGATAGATGTCCCAATGAGGTAGAAGGACAGAGACAGATTGAAATAAGAACGAGAGCTTCAATAGCCTAAAAAATAGTAGTCGATGGCCCAAGCTCCCAAGCCGTGGTCCAAGCTTGCAGCTAGGTTTGAATCTGAGAAAAAGCTCGAAAAGACTAGAAAATCTAAGTAAAAGGAAGTTATTTAAATAAGAATTTGAAAAAAAACGAGCTCCAAGAGCTTATAAACGGAAAACTAAGGTCCCAAGCTCCCAAGACGTGGTCCAAGCTTGAAGCTAGGTTTGAATCTGAGTAGAAGCTCAAAAAGACTAGGAAGCCTGAGAAAAAAAAAAGTCATAAACTGGAGATCGAATGAAACAAGCTCCAAGATCGTATAAACGAGAAACTGAAGTCCCAAGCTCCCAAGACGCGGTCCAAGCGTGAAGCTAGGTTTGAATCTGAGTAGAAGCTCAAAAAGACTAGGAAGCCTAAGAAAAAAAAAGTCATAAACAGGAGATCGAATGAAACAAGCTCCAAGATCGTATAAACGAGAAACTGAAGTCCCAAGCTCCCAAGACGCGGTCCAAGCGTGAAGCTAGGTTTGAAGCTGGGAAAAATCTCAAAAAGAAAAACAAGAAATCGGAAAAAACGAGCTCCGAGAGCCTATAAACGGAAAACTGAGGTCCCAAGCTCCCAAGCCCGACTCCGCCTACTTCCGTTCCCAGTCCCATCGTCACAGCTTCCGTTTCCGTGGCTGGCGCTTAAAAAGGTGTGACCTTTTCCCCTCGACCTTTTGATGGGCGGTGTTCGCTTGGGACCTGAATAATGCTTGGGAATGTTTAGCAACACTATTAGGTAGGTTAATTGGGTATTCAAATTCGAATTGGTTATGGGGGTATTTTTAATCGAGAAGTTTTCGAATTGAATGCCCAAAATTTTCAAAAAAATTTTTCCAACTACCAAAGGCCCGTGTCTGGTATGAAATAAACCTTTTCCTTCAAAAATTTACGACTAGAAAAAAAAAAGAATAAACCAAAATTACGACTGGAAACATCCACGGAGACTATAAACTGAGTTGTTCCTTTCCATTCTCGAAATGCTTCGAATCGTGCTACCAATACTTCCTCTTTTGTTTTTGTGCCAGGGTATCTCTATTCTTCATTTTAAAGTGCAAAGGCGATTTTGAGGTTATGGCTACGTCAAAATCTTTGCTTATCTGAAGGAAAGAGAAAAAATTGTGGTAACCCCGGACGAGGATACTTCTCACATGGCTTGTGAGGGTTGGCTTGGCTGTTGGGTGGGATTTTCATCTAATTAAATATATTGATTAGAAAGAATTTCAGGGCTACACAGTACAATCGTCACCGGACGACGGTATCAATGGGTTCCTGATGGTGACCTCCCTGAACCAAGCATATTTCGAGCCGATGTTGGATGAAATCGACGACAGAAAAATCGTGACGACCATTTTTCTGAGAGTCGCAAGCTTCACCACAGACTGTCCTGCTTCCCTGTACGACATCGAAATGGTAATTTTCTTCTTTCTTTCAAGAAATCCTACCTTGAATATTATTCCGTGCGTCTCAAAAAATCGTCACATCGCTCAGAAAAGCGCAGGGTTTTGAAACAATGAAGGCAAAAAATTTTTGCCCTGGATGTGAATCGAACCTGCGACCTTTTTGACCCCATTCTACTTCTTACTCCACTGCGCCATTTTGCCAAGAAGTTGTATTCGGCCAAAACTGTAGATTAGTTATGTTGCTGAGAAAGTGGCCACTACAGGGTTTTCAAATATAGTCGACCCTATAGTAGTCGAACTAGTGACCACTTAAGTGAATAAAGTTTAGTGGTCTCTTTAGAAGTCTTGCTAGTACTACTAGACCACTAAAAAAACGCAAGATAGTGGCTTCTGTAGAGATGGTTTTAGTGGCCACTTTAGTGTCCTCCCCAAGTGATTCTTGAGAAGCCTCTTAAGGGGCCACTATATATTTGAGATGCGAGAAAGTTCAAGAGTTCACACCTCTGCTAGAAAAGTCTCAGTAAGAATTGAATATTTATATATTTTTCACAAGCCTTATCGAGAATATTTGTCTATTCTTCCCAAACAAGCTGTGCATCTCTTTTAGCGTTTCCAATCAGAATATTAATTTAAAAATGAACCTTTTTTCTTATTTTTTATTCATATCAAAAAAAAAAAAGACGTGGAGCCCGTGGTACTGTAGCGACGCGCAAGGCTGTGGGGTCAACGGGAAAACGATCCGATGGATTTTCGAGCACAATGAAACGGCTTATTGGTCAGTTTTCGTATCAGGGATTATCTTTGCGGTGTTTAGGACCAAACTTGATTATGGACCTCCCTGCGGGAACGATTTGCCCTGTGTGAACACGTCGAAGGCTTGTTTCTCCGGCTACGCGTCCGAATATGGCCATTGTTTCGAGTCAGCTAGTTAACCCATTATTGAGCTACATATTGGAGTTCGATAAAATATGCAGTTATTTTTTAAATCCCTTTCACTTCAACAAAACCTATTGACCTCTAAAAAAACGCAAAAAAAGCTTCACACTATGGGGGCCGAACCCACGACCTCTTTATCCACAATCCGAGCCTTACCCAACTGCGCTATCTTGCTGGAACCTTCCTAAGCCTGAATTTCCGTATACGATTCATACGAGATGAGTTACGGAATCTTTTTACGAAAATCGAAAATCCTGAACTTGGTTTTCCTCCTCCAACTTCTTGATCTGAAACTTTAAAATTATCCACTCCCACTATAAGAAAAAATTGATCACCGTATTTTTTATTTTTCACTGTTCCCAATTTTTTCAAAATTCAGAATTTTAAGATCATAAAAATTTAGATTTCTTGCTGATTCCAATGATACCCAACTCTCTGGACAATCGTTTTGACCGGAAAAAATCGTTTTAAAAAAAATAGCGTCCTCTGCTTTTCCCGATTTTCGGACTTTAGTCTTCCAAGCTATATTCATTTTTTGCTGACGAAAATTATTCTCCCGAGCAAAATATAAAGAGCGGAGCATTTATAACTATGACGATAGCAACCATGAATCTCTTTTCTTTTTTTTCCCATTTTCATTCCAAAAATGTTGCGCGTAGTGATCCTGCTTTTTTGCTCCATCCTTCTCAGTTACGGTAGGTGGATTTATTCTCTTGTCGAAGTGATAATTCCAGGCTTTTCGTACGTCAAGTTTTATGCCTATCGGTTTACTCCGGGCTGGAAAAAGACGACCAGCGAAGACGAGTCTCGGAACTATTGTGATAATTTGACAATCTGCTGGGTATGTCAACTTCCAGCTTCTCCCCAAAAACTTTATGGATACTGTAGGCTTTTTTTTATCGTTTCGAGACCATTTTCGATCATTTTTTGGTGATAGCAGTTTCAGGGCTACGTCAAGGCTCCCACAACGGATTACTACATGACCATGTACGGGTTTCCCGTTATAGTGACGCCAGAATTGGATCAAGACGTGATCGCCCGGAAAAACGGAACACTTTTCACCGTTTTCATGAAGATCAACAACTTCTCTGGGACCTGTCCTCCTTCGCTCTTCGACTTTCAAACGGTATACATTTATTTTTGATGTTTTTCGTTCAATGACTTCATAGAGCTGGTCACGGTCGGCTTGACCCATCGAAAAATGGGAGCTTCAAATTTTACGCTTCATAAAATCCAACGCCCTGTAAATGCTTGGGAGCTGCAAATCCAACGCCCTGTAAATGCTTGGGAGCTGCAATTTTGACGCTTTAAAAATGCTTGGGAGCTGCAAATGCTATGCTGGGGGACCGCAATTTTTACCCTCTATGAAACCTTAGGAGCTGCAAATTTAGATCTTGGGAACTGCGAAAATGAAGCTCTATGAATTCTTGGGAGCTGCAAATTCAACAATGTTAAAACGTTTGGGAGCTGCAAATTTGAAGCTCCATAAATTCTTGGGGGCTGCAAACTCGATACTCTTTAATGATTGGGAGCTGCAAATTCGACTTTTTATAATATCTTGGGAGCTGCAAATTCAACGCTCTCTAAATGCTTGGGAGCTGCAAACTCAACAATATAAATGCTTGGGAGCTGCAAATTTGACTTTTTATAATATCTTAGGATCTGCAAATTTGACGCTCTCTAAATTTTTGAGAGCTGCAAATCTACCGCTCTATTGACACTTGGGAGCTGCATATTTGACTTTTTTGTAATATCTTGGGAGCTGCAAATTCAACGCTCTATCAAATTTTGAAACTTCTCCCATTATTTCATTTTTTTGGGAGCTGCAAATGGTTTTCAGACTTTATTTTTAGGGTGTTTGAGTTTCAGTTCGACGAATAAAAGTATAAAAACTAGCTTTTTTCTATTTTTTCAAATCTCATGTTTGAAAACCGCGAGCCATTTTTCTCGTCCCCAAACTGAATCTGAATATTTTGAAGCCCTGGAGCGACTGGTACTGCACCAACAACACGGCCTGCGGAATGAACGGGCATTTTATGCGATGGATTTCGAAACCCAACGCATCTCAGTTTATGTTAGTTTTTAGAACTCTGAGGGAAAAAAAATGTAAAATTCCTAGGATCAGCAGTGAAACCGATGGAGGCTGTGGAAGTGATTTACCCTGTCCCGATGATTCCTGCGCGACTGGCTACACCATTTCCGATGGAAAATGCGTTGAAAATAGTTGAGAATGACTTGAAACAGTCTGACCTGTCTGCGCTCTCTTCTCTCTCATCGGCGAGAAGAGAGCGCAGACTGTTTGAACTAGGGGGAATTAATGTATAATCAAGAATAAGATAAAAAAAAATACCGCAATTTATTCACGCAATGTACAAATAGGTATTGGCAGTGAAATGCTTCGAAATTTCATGAAAGCTTCATAAATACTGGAGATCTACATGGGTCTGAAAGCGTAGCAAGTGACGTCATCATTGGCGGTCTGGCAGTACGTGTCGGTGTAGGCGACGTAGCTGAAGTCGCCCTTGGCGCAGATGACGTTGAACTTGCCGAACATCTTCTCCTCGGCCGCCTTCTGGATCGCCCGTTTCGAAGCCGATGGGTCGGATTCCATGTTCTGAAATGGTTGATTTGAAAAATATGGAAAAAGTGAAAGCGAAAAAAGTGTAATTAGGCTTGCAGGAGCTTCAAAACTGTCTCATTTAAGGAATATTTTTGAGTTTTCGAGTTTCTAAAAAACTCAAAATACTGAATTTCTTAAATTTTCGGTTTCTACCTGGAAAAAAGTGTTCTTTTTATAGTTGAAATGAAGCTTGAAGCTTAAAATTAGGTTGAACATTTTCTGAAAGATTTGAAAAGGGCAAATTCTGAGAAATACAATTCCAAAACCTTTTTTTGAAAAAAATTTCGCAAGGCTAAAAAAATCAGGTATTTTTTTCAGCTTTTTAGATCATCTAAATTCTTCTAAAAGTTACAAAACCCATAGTTTTTTTCAAAGCTTCTAATCCCATTTTTCCGTCACCACTATCTTTTTTCCAGCCGTAAAAATAGCAGAAAGTTTCGTAAAAGACCAAAAATCGCCGCATTTCCAGTTCCGTTCTTCATCTTCTCAGCGATTCGGTTTACAGCGGAAAAAAGGGCAACAATTTTTGGCTAAGTTGAGCGGAGAAAAAAAACGGAAAGAAACCTCGAATTTACCGGTTTCTACTTCGAAGGATATCCGAAAAAAATTTTTAAGCCCTGGTTGAAATCATGATAAATCTTGAGTTAAGTGAACTTCAGGACTTATTAATTCCAGAAATAGAAGAATATTCGCGACTTTTTCATGCCGAGATCAAAGTGATTCCAAAAAAGACGTCAGAGAAAGAAGATAACTAAATTCTGGAGAAGCAGAGATAGTTTCAAATTCTGCAGAAAAAACTTTGAACCTGGCATTACATTGGAAAAAACCCCTAAAAGGTCAAAACCCTAAAGGGGCCACTAGAAATCCTCTCAATAGTCGAATCATGACGCTTTCAAGCTTTCAAACTGCACAAATTACGGAGAAAATCGGTTATTCAAAGCTTTCCAAGTGTTATAACTTGACTAAAAAACAGGATTTGAAAAAAAATAACTTGTTCTGAAATCAGAATTTCCATCCATGTTTCTCAGAAGTTCAGTCAAGAAAAAGATTTTCTTGTTTTTGAGACAATTTTTCTCGTGACCTTCTCGAAATTGTAACGATTTCCCGAGAAACTAGCAATGTTTTTTACACTGATTGGCAACAATAGCTATCGATAAGGCGTGTTCAAAAAGGACAATTTGTTGACAAGGTCGATCATTTCTCGAGAATTCTTTTTGCGAAAAGTTCAATCAAAAAATCCAACTAATTCGTTTGTTTGCTGAACTGTATAAAGAAGCAAAGGTAAAGTTTATACGGATCTAGAAACGGGGAATCTTTTTCAGTATCTTTTTCGGCCAGTACTTTGACTTCAATGATTCTTTTTTCCCTTCAACAGACCTGCTCCATGACGCGCTTGAGCTTCCGGCTGTTGCAAGTCGGGTCCTCCTCCTCCAAGGATTCCGTTTGGAACAGCTGCAAACCATCGAGTTCAACGAGTTCATTAGAACTTGCATTTTTCATATTAATGATCATGTTTAGCTTCACCCCAAAAAAGGATCTCTAATTGATTCGTATAAAAAATGAGTCTAGTATTAACTTTGAGAGTTTTCAAGTTTCCTGCTTCGGTGTTGGAGCAATTCTAGTGACCACTTTAGTAGCGTCAGTACCCTTAAGTGATCCCTAGAGTTGCTCAGAAAGCGTCCGAGATAAGTCTTGAAGTGAGGTCAAATTCGATCCAATTTGGCATAGCCTCTTTTTGGCAGATAAAAAAGTGACAGGTTGGCGTGGAATGGGCTATAAAAATTGGATTCTCTGAATCAAGAACTCCGAATCCAAAAAAGTATCTTCAAAAGAAAATGAAAGTCCCCCTTCTCCGAGCTCCAGCCCCTCAGCTCACCTTGGATCCATGAGTCCTGTGGCGAGCGCGGTACTGACAAGGAGTTCCGCACCGGCAGCAGCAGTCATTAGCCGGCTGAGCGACGTACTGCTGGAAGACGGGCGCCGGCGCGTAACTCTGGCACGGGATCATGACCGGAGCCGGTGGCGGCGGCGGAGGGGGACACAATGGTGGAGGCGGTGGTGGAAGTGGTGGGGGACATGGCGGAGGAGGCGGACAGAACTGAGGAGGACAGATCGGCGGTGGAGGACATGGAAGCGGTGGCGGAGAGCACATCGGTGGCGGTGGACAGGGTGGAGGGCCCATTGAGCAGCAGCCGCCTGGAATTGGTATTTTTGGGCTTAAGCAAGGTTTCAGAACTTGTGAGCCTGATTAAAGATATTCAAGCCTTGCTAGCCTATTCGAGCTTGAAGAGACTTTTCAAAATTTTCAGAATTTGCTGACTTTTTTCGGAATCACCCTATAAGCTGAAGTCTAAACAAAGAGATCAGGAAATGCCAAGTTTCTTTTGGAGGGTCTTGAAGCAAAAAAAAAAAGATAAAAATCGTAACTTTATTCAAAGCCCTCTGAAGAGCTATGCGCCTTTAAGCTATGTGTCATGACGAGAAAATGGATATTTCATGAAATTTCGATATTTCGACTGATGAAAATCGTCAGAGATTTAAAACAAGTCTCAATTCGATTTGTTTTTCCAGGATTCAGAGCTCAATTAAATTCCAAGAAACAGCTTATTAAAGGAGCATGTAACAAAAAAAAAATTCTCATACCGAAAGTGGCGCTGGCCTCGTGGACGACCGCTACTAGTAGAATCGTTATCCGATACATCTGAAAAGCTAATTTTTGAAAATTAACCCAAAAACAAGAAAACAAAAACCGAAAACTTTGACAAGAATCGATGACTTTGATTCCTTATAAAGAGATGGCAAGAAGACGACCCCCAAAACTTTTTGGCAAAGCTCCGCCTCTTTTCACCTGGCACGTCACCGCGGGGGTACAACCGGTATCGTCGGAAGGCATCGGGCGAGAAAGGAAAGAGAGAGGTGAAGCTTCTGAATAATCACTTTCCCTCTTCCATTCCAGTGAATGGAACACTTTATTCGAGACTCGCAACACAACGATTATAAATTGGCTTGTTGTTTTTTTAGGACTGGATCCACGAAAAGTGAGGGTTCGATTAGTTGTTTGTAACTATGGATGGAAATCGGGGACATTTTTTTATTTATTTCGAAACGTTAGGGAAATACTCTTTATGCTACCGATGAGCTAAAACCATGAAAACTATCTCAATATTTTCGAAGCGCAAGATCTTAGAATTAATATTTTTCAACTCTGCTGATAGTCCTTCAGAAACCCGAAAAGTTGTAGCAAATTTATTATTTTTTTATATGTATATTTTTTTACCATAACCATTTCCGTTTCCTCGAAAAACGAGATATGAAAGCCGAGGGATGACCTTCCTCTTGTCCCTCCCCATTAAGCGCGATTTCTTCCGCGCAACCGATTATTTCAGGGGAAATGCAGCGTGACACCTCGAACCCAAACATTTTCGTGATTTTTGAGCTTAATTCCTCGAAAGAAGATTAAAAATTACGCAACGACCGGTCTATGCCAACTTTTTTCTCAAAAATTATCAAGGGAAGCAACTTTCACTCCTCAAATCTTCGAAATCGAAACAAACAAAACTACTCGATCTTATTGCGTATGACGCACGCACGCGCTGAAGGTCGAAAAGCCGTTTTCACGCTTCACAATTTCTGAAGAACAAAGAGGTGTCGAATTCGTAGCTGTTACGTCAGAGGAAGGAATGAAGCGGTGACTCAGCAAAAGGACCGCGCGAATCGCTCATTACCAAAGCTATGACCATTTCAGATGAAAACTAGATACGCCACGAAGAGAAATGAAAACAAACGATAGAAGTGCAAACCAACGGGATATCCGACTATAATTCATTGAATTATATAAATTCGTAGAAGCGAAACATCAACATTCTGTGCGTAAATTAAAAATTGCATGTGATATCTCAATTTTAGATCCAGAAACATTTAATTAATTTTTTTATTTTAGTAACAATAACAAGAAACAATTCAAAAAGTAGTTTACTTGGCCTTCTTAGCGCGAATCTTGCGGAGGTAGAAGTCGAGTTCCTTGCCTTCCAAAATGTATCCGTTAGCTTGTCCAACTTGTCCTGGGCTCGACGAGATACGGGCTAAAAAATACAATTTTTAAAAATTAGTAAATAAAAATTATTGTGCCTTCTAAATTTTCGCGACAAAAAGCGCTTTCCCGGTTACTATTAGAATTTTTTTATGTCGTGTTCATCGGACAAAACGACAACTGGTTCAAAACGCCAAAAATTGCTCTAAAACAAAAGTTTGGCGTGCCGATAATCACGGTGTTCTTTTTTTTTTGAAGCATTTTCCGTTTCTCCGATGAACACGCCATCATAATGGAATTATCAAGTTGCCGAGAGCACTTTTGAAAAAGTGCTAAGGTTTAATAAATTTCGGACCGTCAACTCTCATTCAAAAATTGGAAAGCTTTCAATCAAAAGTTATTATCTAGCTCGAGTTTTGACTGGGTAGCGGAAACTCTCCAAAAGAAAAATGATAATAATAATAATAATAATATACCGAGAAGTCTTCCGGTTTGGAACTGCTCAATCAACATGGGATCGACGGTAGCGGTCTTTTGTCGCTCGGTGTACTTAAGCGTCGTCTTTCTCGATCTGAATTAAACTTTCAAAACACAAAAATATAAATTCTGCAAACCGAGATTTGTTCAAGTTGGTGGCTTCCTCTTCGGAGAGCTTAGCGCCCTTCTTTCTGGCAAGAGGAAGAGCGTAGTGGGACTCGTACCACTGTCTGAAAGGAGCAGCATCGATGGTGATGATGGCTCCCTTAACAAGCGTCTTGGTACGCACCAACTCGTTGTTGGTCGAGTTGTAGACGGTGTCCACAATACGGGTCTTGCGAGTAGTCTCTGAAAAGATATATTGTGAAAAAAACGCGAATAAATTCTCTATTTTTGAACAGTTAATCGGATGAAAAAAAGAAAGAGAGACAGGATACAAAAAACTCATTTTGTTTTCCAGCACAACAACAAATTTTTATGGGTGAAAAAAATAATGACCATAAAACCATCAAAATCCTCCAAAATAATTGAAAGGCAAAGAAAAAAAAAATAACGTACGCTCGCTAGCCCACGAGAAGTTTCCATTATCAAGACGAAGTGCACGGTACTTGAAATTTCCACCTCGAACGCGAAGCAAATGGACACGGTGAGATCCAATCTGAAGGATTTGTAACTCGGAAAAATATATATTCAAAATTTAAATTGACTGAAAACGAAACATCGAAAACCTTATAAAATAAACTACTTTTTTTACTACAACATAAAATAGAAACGCCATTTTTAAATAAAAATGAGCACCTTGGTGTTAGCGGCAGGGCGGCCGAGCTCGAACTTCCTCTTTTTGTGAGGAATCGGGCGCGTAGCACCAGTCTTGTAACGCTTATGCCAAGAATCGCGTGAGATACCCATTCTAAAACAGATTCTAATTGATAAATTCACAATAAAAGCGAATATAAAACGAAGTAAAATAAAAAAACGGAATCATTTGAAAAAAAAGTTATTTCAGGCCAAATTTGAAACGAGAAAATTTTTGAGCGGGTTCAACGCATCAAAAGAACTTGTTATAAATGTCCCTAAACTCCATTTCACATCATATAAATGAAATTAACCAGAAATACAATTATTAAAATAAAAAAATAAAAAAACAAAAAAACCAACTGGCCTAAATTTTAAAGGCTCATTGCGCGCTCTACCGCCAACACAGTAGCGATTCGTTGCAGACTAAAGTTTCGCGCCTGGGAATGATCCTTTAATTAGTCGTTTCAATTTTCATTTCGTTTTTTATTCATTTCTTGTTTTACAGCTTTTTTCTCCGTATTTTTCTCTTTACGTTGATGTATATCCTTATATTAAATGTGATGCCGTTTATTTTTTTATATTTTAACTATCTTTATCTCGATTGTGGAATTGAAAAACCCTTGCTCGAAGTAATTTTTAGCTCATTTCGTTTTCTAGCCAAAGAAAACAAAATTTTTCCTATGCAATTTAATTTTGCAATCTGTTGATCCAAGTTATTTCGAAAGTAATGGAAATGTGTCCATAGTCAAAACTGTTAACAGTTTATTAGAGAAATTTCATTTTCTGATATATATATTGATCCTGTCCGATTTTAAAAATTACTTCGCTTGAAAACGCCATCGCGTGTTGAGGTGAAGCATAGAGAAAGAGGATACGAGGTTTTTTTTTAAAGTAATATTTTGTTTTAAATATGGTTTTTGTGAATGAATTTCAAAGTCTTTTCATAATTCCTTCGCTTTTTCTGATTTTTTTTTTCTCTTCTGGCTCTGTTAATTCATTTTCCTTCTTCCACGCTTTTAAGAGTTTTGCGAAACTCTTACAGCTGTATTATATTTATAGCCTATTTCACGCGAGGCTATATCACGTTTTTCTTTTTGCCAGATACACCGTATACCAAATTAGATCAAGATTGAGGTTATTCGCTTCAAGACCTTTGTTTTTTGGTGTTTTTTGACCAGTTCTGTGGGGCAAAAGTTTTTATTTGCGGTAGATTTTTTTCTATGTTCTTCAGAAACGTGACTTTCTCGCGCGGAACGAGCTATATTCATTTGGCTTTTTTTATTCCTCCATCAATTTTATCTTCTTTGTGAACAATCAAACAGTTTATTTCTCTCTTCCATAAAAAAAGAACCTCAAACGTCTTCATCAGATCAAATCGATTCCTCAAATGAAAGGTACATGGTCAGGGTACCAATAAAACCAGCGTTAACAACTAATCAAAATTATCAAAATATAAGATTAAAAAAAGAGCGTAGGCTTTGGGGGGCAATCTTATCACATTTTAGGGGCTTGTATGTGTGTCCTTTGTGGCAGCATCTTTCCAATTATTAATATGTAGAATTCACTCAATATGTAGTAAGAATAAGCTAGAATATTCGATATAATAGAACTTAATGGGATAAAATGTACAAGCGAAAAAGTAAATGCGACGAAATAAAAAAAAATCTAGCGAGATAATAGAAACAAAAGGCTACACTCCGTTGCTCAAATACCGTATTAAAGACATGAAAAAGTGTAAGAAAAAGCGAAAGAGTTGGTCTTTCATAATCAAAAATTGCGATAAATCTTATTAAAAAGATTGAAGTTGGGCCAGGAACTTGGGCAGTTGTTCGGAAGTGACGCAACTGTCCGAGAAAGTCGAAGCAGACGCGACGATCTGAAAATAATTTTTAGAATCAAATATGATATAAGGAATTTTCATACCTGGGCACCCAAATAGGCCGCATTGTACCGCCAGGGGGAAATGTTGACCTGAAAATTTTTTAATTGGATTTGAAAATGGGATGAAAAAATACCTGAGTGTGGATTGTGTTCGGAACAATCGTTGAAAGTTCTTGCTCGAGTTTTTCGGCAAGGCCTGGCATTAGAGAGGCGCCACCAGCAAGGTAGATGTTCCTGAAAATCAGATTTTCAGGGATAATAATTGGAGAAGTCATAATTCCTTGATTTTTTTTAAAGTTCTAAACTCTTGCTGACTGTAGAATGAAAATTAGGTGCCCAAAGTTTTTCCCAGGTGATTTTGAACATTTTTTCAAGTAAAATGAGGCAATTTTAAGGATGAAAAGTCTTTAAAAATGCTGCATTTCGAAAGATCTACAGATTCTCGAATTTTAATACCAAACTCCTTCTAAACACCTTCTAAAGGGCCTTTCCAACGAAATAAAAACTTTGAATTCCCTATTTTCACTTCTTCCATAAAAACCAACCGATAAAGCGTTCTCCTACTATCGATCGGGCTCTGAAGAACGGCTTCATGAATCAATTGATGAAGTCCTTTCGCGTCGATTCCCCACTTTTTCGGTCGGAAAAGTCCCTCAGTGCACATGAATCGCGACGTATCGATCTGTAATTATTTTTGAATCTTTAAGTGATACAATTTTCAAAAAACTGACATCAAATTTCGTTTGCATGCCGGGCGTCGGGTCGAAATCGTCCAAGGAAACTTTCACATGACGACTTTCGTTCTTTTCTTCTCTAGCGTAGTCTTCAGGGACGTAACTTGTCTGGAAAAAAACTCAGTTATCTTTTTATAAGGCTAAAAAAAAGTCTGAAAAATAAATTGATTGAAATTTTACAAAAAAAAAATCCAGCTTTTTAAAAATTGAACCCAAGAAGTAGAGCCAATTTTACCCATCCGAAAAGGTTTTGAATGATTAAAATTCACTTCATTCGCTGATAATTTTTAACGAACTGATAGTGAGAAAAAAAAGACATCAAAAAAACTTGGCAAAAATTCAAAAAGACCGAATTTCGTCATTTTTTTCGAATTTCTATCTTTCAACTTTTCGACAAAAAAATTATTTTTGGGCTTTCAATTTCCAAAAAAACAAGGTCAGGCGTCACGCATTTTTCTTCTTCAAAGGACACTTAGTTTCAAAAAAATTGAAATTTATTAGGCTTTTAAAAAAATTATAACTATAAATAATCCCGCGAAATTCCAACCTGTTCAAGAACGTATCGCAAAATGAGCTTCTCGACGGGACTTTGGAACCCATAGAGGCCTTTATTATTGGCGATGAGGGAAGTTCGGAGGGATTCCCGAACTTGGGTGGCGCCGTAGGGAATCGAGCAAATAGCCGATTCAACGACGTATCCTGGAAGAAATTTTGGATGGTTTTCAAGAAAAACAGGATAGTTTTTCCCTTATAAGGACTAGAGCCATATAAATTTGATATTCAGTAAAAAGAAATTTTGAAGAAATGAGGATCTTTTCATCGGAAATAACTTTATTAAATGGGCGATCTATGCTTCAGAAAGCTAAAAATTCGCATATTGAAATTTAAAATACTTTTTAAAAGTTTTTAAAGGAGCAAAAGCCTTGAACAACCTTGAAAATCACTGAAATATATTTTTCACTCTGAGACCTTCATGCGCCTTTAAACCTCTCAGCATAAGTTTTCCATTGAGCAAACTAGAAACAAAAGCTTCAAAAAAGATGATTTTTCCCCAGAAAAAGACGCGAAATTCAAATTTTTGAATAAAAATGAGTTCATAAGAACGCCATAATTGTTGCTGACACTTATTTTTCTCATTTTGAAGAATTTTCCCGATCACAATTCCAAAAAATAGACATTTTTAGGGTAACAAAGCACTGTATTCTTTCATTTTCTCAAGTTTTCCCGTTATCATTCAAATATTGACCATCAATGACTGGAACAATGTGAAGTCGATCTCCAATATCGATGACGACACCAGTCGTGACGTCATAGGCGTAGAGAATCAGTGAGGGATGACGGGTGATGGCGGCGGCCTGGAAAATTTGAATTTGACTGATAAAATTCAGGAAAAAAATTGCAAATCAGCTTGATTTAGTACAGATATTCAAAATGATCCTTAAAAACTTGAACGTGAATTTTTTCAATCGATACATTTAATTTTTCTTAGGATCGAAAATAGCCAATTTCAGGCTAAAAAAATATGCAAAAAAACGATTTCAAAAAAATCAGTTTTCTTGTAGGAAAAACGACTGTTACGAAAAATTTCCAACTTAAATCTCGGAAATCCATAGATCTATCAAAATCTAGTTTATTCTGTAACTCGGAAAAATGATGAAAAACCTCAATAGAAGAGCAAGAAATCTAGCAAAATTGAACACGCTGTACAGGAAATTTTTCAATCAATAAATTTAACATTTATTAAAAAAATTGAAAATAGCCGTTTTTCAGGCTAAAAAAATATGAGAAAATTCTGAAAAAAACTCAGGTATTTAGTAAGAATATGTCTGTTGGAAAAATTTTTCCAACCAAAATCTCAGTAGTCAATTTATTTCTAAACCTATTGAGAGCCATAAAAATAAGTAATCCAGCTCGAAAATTCCTTTTTATCATCCGAAAAAAAGGCGAAATATTCTTGGAAAATCTGGCAAAACTCGAAAAGTTGTGAATTAAATTCTCAGTGAATAAAATTAATCTTAATTTTAATCGATAACAGTTCTTTAGAGGCTAAAAAATGATGAAATGGTGAAAAATCCTGTTTTCTAGTAGAAACACGTCTGTTAGAAAATTTTCCAACCATAATTTCGTTAGTCAATTTATTTCTGAACCTATGGAGAGCCATAAAATAAGTAATCCAGTTCAAAAATTTCTTTTAAAACTCTAAAAATGACGATTTTATCGAGTGAAGCTTGAAAAATTTGATTTTTTTTTTAGGCTTTCTACTCTTTTAAAATACAAAATTCCACTTCAAGCTTCGAATATTTCCATTAAAATATGTTTAGAGAACAAAAAAATTCACCTGAAATTTTACTTCATTCAAACAAATTCCCAGCAGCTCACCAATCAGTGCTGTGGGAATATTGTGCGGAATCGACAGTAAATATCTAAAAATTCATTTTTTCAATAAAGACATTTTTTCGAAACAAACCCTGTACATTTTCGGGTCGATCTTGAGGTCTTTCACCACTTTACCGATACAGGCTTTTAGGACCTAGAAAATCAATTTTTTAATAATTTTATCAAGGAGATTGAAGAAAAACCTCCTTATCAATGGTATACCGTTCAACGGAAGGATCATGGGCCTCGATTGGTTTGACGAAATCGCCTTGGTGCCGGATCTAAAGTGGAAAAAACAGTTATATTTAGATAGTTTATGAAAAAAAATATAACCTCAGGTAGGTAAGCATCCTCGCCGACGACAATTTCCCCATTTTCTTTCCGAATCGCGATCGCCGGGAAGAAAACTTGTGGTAATGAGGGTTCAGTTGTCAGAACACCGGCTCGAATCGAACAGGATCCGAGTTCCAGGATCAAAACTCGCTGAAAAAAATCACGTTTTTTTGAAAGTTTTCAATTTTTTTCTCCAGCTTTTTTTCAAGTTCTTTTTTTAAAAAAACGCCAAATGGAAAATAGCATAAAAAAATCTGAAGAAAAATCCATTTTCTAATAAATTCGAGTACCGCCGAAAGTTTATTTTCAGGATTTTTTAAAACTTATCCGATTTCCGTTCAAAATTGATCACTTATAATTTTTTTCTATACTACCTAAAGTTTTTTTATGGCAATGAATAAACTATTATTATTAAAATGAAAAATCGTATTCCAAATTGAAAAAAATTCTAGTATCTTTTTCAAAAAAACAGCGAAACAATGGCCGGAAAAAAATTCACATCATATCCAAAAAAATTCATTTTTTTCAATAATTTTTCCCGAGATAGTTGCGATTTTCTGTACAAAAGTGCACTAGAAAAGTGATTCCGGATAATCAAATGAACATTTTTTGTTGGAAAATGAATAAAAGCATTCTAATTGAAGTGAAAATGAGCCAATTGGTGGACCTTTTTAAAAGAAACGTTCAGAAAAATGAGTATCTTAATAATTTTCCGTGCAATTTGAACACACAAGAACAAACAGAAAAAATAAACAAAAGAAACAAGAAAAAATTGAAAATTCCGCTAAAAAGGCTCGCCTAAAGTACCGCGGAGCGAAAGGGTTGCAATTTCTCTCTAACGGAATTTTTCTTATTTTGCACTCTTTATTTTCCGAATATTTTTTCCCGGAATCGATGAAAATAACGGATGACATCGAAACTTCCAATAATCATTTTCATCAAAACCTCTGTAAGATGCCTAAAAGCTCCGGGGAAAGGCTTGACATAGGCGTCAATTTGCGAAGAAGCACAATGAGAGAGTAAAGCTTGACGCCATTTGTCGAAAACATTCGAAGGGACACTGAAAACGACAATAAAATCATTTTTTTAAATTTGAAACTAACCGAATGAAGTATTTAATGTGTTCTCGGCCTCCATGAATATTGAAAGTTCGTTCTTCCCGATTCGCATCGACGTCAGCTCCAGAAAGAATTATTTCCCGAACCGGAGCCTCGCCAGCGTAATGTGTCTGAATGGAATAAATAAAATCTGAATTATTTTTTGAAAATTACGGCAAAAATTTGGAGCCGTCCCTCTTTGGTTCGAACATATTCTTGGCGCCATTCGCGTTCCAATTCTTCCGCATTATTCGTTTCATCAGAAGGAACCTGGAAATGAAATGAAAATGGGAAAATTTTCAAAGTTCAAAAAAGTGTTCATTGGAGCGCCAAAGTTGCTCCAACGTACAAAATTTTGTATTTCCCCCCTTTTTTACGTTTTTGAGCGATTTTCAGTTTTTTTTTTTCACGCCACAAAATAATGTAGTGTTCAAAGCGAAATTTATGCCGCGTTTAAAGTAATAAAACTACACGCGGAGAAATTGTTTCTCCTGTTTACAGCCACGAGCCGAAATTATGCGCGCCGATATTCGTTGGCAACATTCCAACACAGTTTTCTTTTCTTTTTCTTCTTTTTTTACATAATTTCAATTTTCAACCCGTTCAAAGCTACTGATTTTTAGAAATAGTACGAATGAAAAACCTTTAGTTAATTTTTTTCGACTGTTTGAACTTGAAAAAAAGTTCAATTTTTTTCTCAAATTTCGTATTTATCGTGTTTATCCAACGGATGTATCGGAGTGTTTGAAGTTGCAGGTCTCTAAACTATGGCGGGTATTGGATTACCGAAAGTGTTAAATTTGAAAAAAAGGTTAATTTTTTTGTTCAAAAAAAATTTTTCTAATTTCTTTTTACAATCTTTGATTTTTGTTCACAAAAAAAATTCAGATTCGTCAGGGAAAGACGGGCGGCTCGTGTGAAGGTAACGCAAAATGTTCGTCTCTACAGTCAAGCATAAATTCGTGAGTTTTTCTTGTTCTTCGATATTATTTTTCTTTCATTTTTCAATATGTCTTGTCTGTTCAGTTTTACACGAAAAAAATTAATACCAAGGTTCAATTAGCCTTTCTTTTTTGGAAAAATTTTTTTCTTCTTTCAGGCCTAGACGATCGGTTTACGGAGGACACGCCGAAAGACTACACGGGAAACTTGGATCTCTCTTTATGGAACTTTTTCTAATAAAAAAAATTCATTGTTTTCTTCTGCATTTCAGAGAAATTTGACAAAAAAACAGTTTCTGTTATTAGGTTTTGAATTTGATTAACTAAGCAGCTTTGTTTTTTTACATTTATTCCTCAAGAAATTGATGCTCATCATCTTTATTCAAATAAAAAGATGGAGGAAATAAATGCGTAATAAAACAAAAACAAAATCATTGAAACAAAGGAGAATTTAAAAAGCTGTGAATTTGACACAATCGAGACATGATAAATTGCAAATTTATCCGGCTGACCACAACGTCTTGTTCGAATGAGCTGAAAAAAAATTCAATACTTTTTTTCTGAATTAAATTAACTAGTTATTAAGAGATCTATAGGAAAAAAATAAACAAATTTCTTATTGCCCGTGGCGTCGAAAATTACGCGCTACCTTCACACGAGCCGCCCGTCTTTCCCTGACGAATCTGAATTTTTTTGTGAACAAAATCAAAGATTGTAAAAAGAAATTAGAAATTTTTTTTGAACAAAAATTAACCTTTTTTTCAAATTTAACACTTTCGGTAATCCAATACCCGCCATAGTTTAGAGACCTGCAACTTCAAACACTCCGATACATCCGTTGGAAAAAAAAAAATAAACACGATAAATACGAAATTTGAGAAAAATTGGGTGGTATGAAAAAACCACCAGCGAAAATTCAAACGGCGACTTTTCCGATTTTTTCATATCGCTAGGGAACTTTCCGACGGCCACCTTTCCGACGGATCCATTTCCGACGGATCCATTTCCGACTTTTTTCCCTTAAGTTTTTCGGTTTATAAAACATCTATAAACATTGTTTTTTTCTTTGTGTTTTAATCATTAACCAACTACCTACTTTATATAGGGAGATTTAAAACGAAAAGTTTATCGAGAAAAAGAGTCGGAAAGGATTCGTCGGAAAGGTGGCCGTCGGAAAGTTCTGTAGCGATACGAAAAAATCGGAAAAGTCGCCGTTTGAATTTTCGCTGGTGTTTTTTTCATACCACCAAAAATTGAACTTTTTTCAAGTTCAAACAGTCGAAAAATTAACTAAAGGTTTTCATTCGTACTATTTCTAAAATCAATAGCTTTGAACGGGTTGAAAAATTGAAAAAAAGAAAAAAAATTATGTAAAAAAAGAAGAAAAAAAAAAAAAGAAAAAAACTGTGTTGGAATGTTGCCAACGAATATCGGCGCGCATAATTTCGGCTCGTGGCTGTAAACAGGAAAAACAATTTCTCCGCGTGTAGTTTTATTACTTTAAACGCGGCATTAAAGTTTTGGGAAGTCAGAGGTAGTGCATAAAATTGCAAAGTCCCTATTGAAAGCTTCAAAAATACAAATATTACCTCAACATGTCCTTCGATATTAATAAAGCGATTGCGTTTGGTTTCTACTCTTGGCTCGTAGGAAACCTGAAAAATTATCGTTTTACTCACTTTTGGTCGAAAATACCTCATAAAGGGCCCTCAGAAGCTTCGTAGGGTTCCATTCCCGCAAGGCGTTTGCCTCCTCGGCTTTTAAACTATCCGAACGGCCATTAATCTCCGTTCCACCGTTGGCGGCGCTGTAGTCGTCCAGCTCCGGCATTTATTTTTTATTAATTTCTGTATTTTAATTCGTGAGGCCGGTGATCTGGAACGAAATGACTTGAAATGAATAAAAATGCGATTTTTTAATGTAGGAAATGAGGTTTTTAAAGATGAAAGGTCAAGAGGAAAAACTACAAATGGAAAACGACACAATAAACGTTCATAACCATGAAAAGTTGGAGAGAAAACCAAAAACCGAACTTTTCTCTGGCAAAACCCATGATTTTGATGCATTCGAACGCAGAAAATTGCCAAAACCTGTGAATTTCACGATTTTCGTGTTGGAAGAAAAGGAAAAGAGAGAATTCCTTCTATAAGCTCTTCTCGATTCTTTCATGTCAAAGGAAAAAGATTGAGAGGTTGGCTTTTTGATGGGTTAATGACTTGGGTTGGGAAAAAAGAGAAGAAAATTGCATTTTCTTTCGTTTTTCTGTACACTGCACTAAAAAAAAAATTTATATGCAGTTTTTCTAATTTAAGACGAACGCAGAGTATTGATAATGAAGTATAAAAAGTATCTTTTAATATTTAATAAATCGTTGAAAAAGTAAAACGCCATTGACTCAGAATTTTCCGGGCAATGAGCAAAAAGTACGGCTTTAAGTCTAAAAAAGCTTGATTGAGAGCAAAATCACTAGTTTTTTGGCTGGAAAAGGTACATAAGAATCTTTTAGATTAGGTTTCGAAGTGAAGAACCGTTTTTAGAATTTTTGAGTTATAAAAAACTGCAGCGAAATGGAAATTTTGCTGAAAATCAATTCAATTTCGAGTTAATTAGTCAAATTTGAGCTTAAACTAAAGAGTTGAAGCCCGTTTTAAAGTCTAAAATTTCCATATTTCAATTTTAAAACCTCAAAACAATATATGAATCAAAGTAAAACCTTTAAAGGAGAAAAAATCACGAAAAATCAATAAAACCCCGGCTAAAATGTTTAAAATAAACTGGAAAAAGCAAAAAGCGCTCGGGGCAACGCACCGAAACACATGTGTTTGGCAATGGAAAACGTCGAGACGAAAAAAAAAGGCGAAAAAAAAGTGGACCCGTCGAAATTTGATCTACCGCCTTTTGGCCGCCCTGTGATCTTCACCTCTCCGATTTGATTGATACTTTTTTGACCGAAGTGTCGGGTTTACCTTGTCATTAAAGGCATAGGGGCAGTAAAAAAACGGTGTTTCAGTTCAAAGCAGTACTTTGTAGAGCTTTTCATTGCGAATCGAACGGTGAACTTGGAATCGTACAGAAGTTCCTAATTTTGGAGAAAAAATAATTAAAAGTCGGAGTAAGGGAAACTTGAGTTCCCGCAAAAAGGGCGCTTTGCAGTAAAGTTGCTCTATGGACAACAGGCTTCGCCATCTTCCGGATTTTCGCTTTTTTCTTCGTTTCTTTCAAATTTCAATTTTTTCTGTTGTCACCAAAGTTCTTTCTGTCACAAAAGCTTTCTATTAATGTATAATTTGCAAACTTTGATCGCAAAAAAGCTTTTCTGGTGAAAAATTATTATTTTTCATAGCTTTCTATCGAGATAGCGATATTTTGTGTCTTCTTTATTATCGGTGTGTTTTTTTGATTTCTTAATACGAAGACGGGTAAAATATATTCTATTCATGTCAAATTGATAATTTTTAGACTAGTTTTTCTAAATATTTTTCATGTTGGATAGAATTATATATTTAAAAAAATATATAGTTAAAACGATAAAGATTTCAAGCCATTGATAAAAAATATCAATTGATAAGGTTTTCTCAAAAAGTCCGTGTCAAAAGTGACAATATTTGAAGGTTTGTTGGGTTTTCCTTATCAAAGTATCAGTTTTTAAGAGTCTTAGGGTTCATATTCAAGTTTTAAACGTAGAAAATGACTCTGAACATGTTTAAAAAAAAAGCGAAAAATAGTAGAATCAGCTAAAAAAAAATTTTCTATGAATAAAGAGGTCCTACAAGGGAGGTCATTTGACTTTGGGAGCGGGATTTTTCTGAAACTTGGTCAGAATATTTCTTGATGTATCAAAAGAAGATTCTGAAAGTCTCAGTATGCAAAACCTTTTAATTTTCGAGAAATGAGGGTTCAAAAATGGGATATTTTGATGGATATTGAGGATTTTCTTCGAATTTGAGGAGTCCTTTCTCGGAAACGAGAAAGTTTTGTGGGTTGAGACTTCCAGGATGTTCATCTGGTACATCAAGAAAAGTTCTGGCAAAATTTCAAAAAAAAAATCCCTATCCCAAAGTCAAATGACCTTCCTTGTTGGGAACGAATCCCTTTTTGCATTTTTTCAAAAAATCTGTTTTTTCTGATCCCATTCCATTCAAGCGGAAATCCCGACACCAAAAACAGCTATCACGAAAAAAAAACAGGAAGAGAAATGAAATTTGGAAGGGAACCGAGGGAGGAGAAGAGAAAAAAAGAGCGGAGCCGGGGCCGAGTAATGATGCTCGGAGGAGCCTCTGGAATGTGCAATTTCAATCGCGAAAGCTCCCGGAGCCACACCCGTTCTGCTCATAATTTCATTATGGTCTCCAGACGTCGAGCCTTTCAGAACTACCCATTATTTTTCGCCTTAATTTTTGGTCTCTTTAGTGTCCTTTTAGTGTAATTTTGGTGCGAAAATTTTGAAAAAAAAAGGTAACATCATAATGAAAAATTAGTGTAGTGTCCAGAGGTTTCCAGAAGAATTTTTTGTCTGAAAAATCATCTAAGTACTCTTCATTCAGGTCGAACTCAAAGAGAACCAGCTAAATAAAATGGCAAAAGAGCTCAAGTTCTTGGCAGGATTCGAACCTATGACCTCCAGAGCCTTAAGAATTCAATTTCTTGATAATTTTGGTCTTTACATCTTTTTTTAAATGTAGATTCAGCGAGAAAAATAGCTTTAAAATTGATGATTTCGGGGAAAAAATGGCAAAAAATCTCATGTTCTCAGCGGGATTCGAACCTATGACCTCCAGAGCCATCAAAATTCCATTTCTCAAAAATTTTGGTCTTTGCAGCTTTTCTAAATGTAGATTCGGGGAGGAAAATGACTTTAAAAATGATGACTTCGGGAGAAAAAAAGGCAAAAAAGCTCAAGTTCTTGGCAGGATTCGAACCTATGACCTCCAGAGCCTTACGAAATCTATTTCTCAAAAATTTTGGTCTTCACAGCTTTTCTAAATGTAGATTCGGCGAGAAAAAGGGCTTTGAAGATGATGATTTCGGGAAAAAAAATGGCAAAAACCATTCCGCTCTTGGCAGGACTCGAACCTATGATCCCTAAAGCCATCAAAATTCCATTTCTCAAAAATTTTGGTCTTTACAGTGCTTTTTGGATGTAGATTTAGTGAGAAAACTGGCTTCGAAAATAATAAAAACGGGGGAAAAATGGCAAAAAGTATTCCGCTCTTGGCAGGATTCGAACCTACAACCTCCCCTAAATCTTCATCGCCTTCCAAACTTCTGAAATCCAATTTTTTCTGGATTTTGTCTTTGCGGCGTTTTTCTAGTGCAATTTTTAGTGTAGAAAAAAGTTTTTGGAAATAAATTAAAATCAAAATTTTTGAAATTTTAAAGGGTTGATAACTGAACCGAAAGCTAGCAAGGGAAAAAACTCCAAATAAAAAAAACAGCGTTTTTCACGAAATGTCCATCAAAATTGATGCAAAAAAGCCAAACTGAACGCATTCCAACGGCGGAAAAACACCATAAAAACGGGCCAATTTTGAGATTTTGGCCTATTTTCGAGGAGAAGGTGTGGCGTAAGCAGTGGGTGTGGCGATGAACACCCGATATGGGGGGTTGGAATGGAGGAGAAGAGATTTCGGGGCCGAAAACGAACGCCCCGAAATCCCAAACACAACAATGGAGAAGCGGGGCGGAAATCGCGGCGCTTTTTACATGCCAAAACGTTCTGAATCGACTATAAATAGGGTTGGAACCATTAAAAAAGTGAAAATTAGGAGGAAAAAAATGCAAATGAAGATATTGGCATGTTGGTCAAGTGGCTAAGAAACTCGGTTATGGCTAAAAGGGTCATGGGATCGGGTCCTGGTGACGTCTAAATTGCTATAAACTCGCTGAGGTCAAAATATAAGCCAAATTTTTCAGCTGAAAAAAATGAAGAAGCTAAATATCCTAGTTTGGAGATGTTGGTCAAGTGGTAAACCGGTCGACTATCATCAAAAGGGTCCTGGGATCGATTCCTCTTCGCGTCAAAAAATCTAATTTTATTATAAATTCGATAGATAAAGATTTTGAACTTGAAAAAGGCTAAAAACGCTGAAAGGCGCGATTTTGACCCAATAGTCAAGTGGCTAAGCTTTCAAGCACTCAATAAATGGGTTCCAGGTTCGAATCCAAGCGGCGCCAAAACTCATTCCTATTAATTTGCCAATTGTTTTCTCATTCCGTTTGGTTGCAGGGTGCCGGAACAATAAAAAATAGAACCATGAACATACAGTCGAGTGGCTAAACCTTCAAGCACTCAATAAATGGGTTCCAGGTTCGAATCCAAGCGGCGCCAAAACTCATTCCTATTATTTTGTCAATTTTTTTCTCTTTTTGTATGGTTGCAGGGTGCCGGAACAATTAAAAATAGAACCATGAACATACAGTCGAGTGGCTAAACCTTCAAGCTCTCACTAAATAGGTTCCAGGTTCGAATCCAAGCGGCGCCAAAACTCTTTCCTACTATTTTTGCAATTATTTTTCTTTTTTTGTTTGGTTGCAGGGTGCCGGAACAACAAAAAATAGAGCCATGACCATACAGTCGAGTGGCTAAGCCTCTACGCTTTCATTAAATGGGTCTCAGGTTCGAGTCCATGAAGCGCCAAAACTCATTCCTACTATTTTTGCCAATTGTTTTCTCATTTTGCCTGGTTGCAGGGTGCCGGGACAATAAAAAAATAGAATCCTGACCCGATAGTCAAGTGGCTAAGACGTCACGCTCTCATTAAATGGGTCGCAGGTTCGAATCCAAGCAGCGCCAAAACTCATTCCTACTATTTTTGCCAATTGTTTTCTCA